GATCGGCAATTTGGGGAACTGAGGAATTTAGCTGTATAAATGCTGTCCAAAACCGAACGTGTAGATTTTTCTTAGCAGTCGGTAGAAAGACTCCAAATGTGTCTTTCCGTGGTGAAATGGGCAGGAAATCCTCATTTTCAAAACAAAAAAATGAAATTCTTCGGTTCTGGCGCAGTTTGCATGCTGCAGATCAATCCCGAATGCTGAGTATTATTTGCAGATGGTCAGTAAAATTCCGTAGATCCTGGAATAATACAGTTTTCAACCACTTTCTCACTTTACATTTACCAATATATGATCTAAATAATATTTCTACTGAAGAGTTTAACTTGTCTAAAGTATGTCTGTTATCCTTAGACCATTCTGATTGGTTACGTGGGCTCTGGAACGATACGGGCCAGGTAAATGGTAATAAGTTACATGTACGTACATACAGATTGTTTAAAGATTCTTTATCAGTAGAACCCTATGTCAGTTTATTGATGAACAGATGTCAGCGCAGTATATTAAGTAAGTTTCGCTGCGGCTCACTGCCATTAGAAATAGAATTGGGAAGATTCACCCGCCCCAAAACACCGCTTATTGAACGTATGTGTAAATTCTGTAATTGCAATGCTGTTGAGGATGAAGTACACTTTTTTGCTGAATGTTCTCTCTTTACAGATTTACGCTATGATTTATGGAATTTAGCTTCTCAATCAACTCCAAACTTTATACAGATGTCCGCTGCCGATCAGACCGTGTTCGGAACAATAGGGTGGTTACACCCCTAGCCGCGCTTCTTCTTCACATGTATCAGCGAAGACATCTGTGTCTTTCGTCTCTACCAACTTAGTTCAATGTATTTTATTTCTTAGTATCAGAATGTTCTCCTTTCAACTTTTGACCTTGCACTGGTGATAACTCCTTTTGATGTATATGTATGTACTGTGATATTTCTCATTTTTACTCATATGTATGTGACGTCCTGCGTGTCTCGTAGGCCATAATGACCGGACACTATACACACTATTTGTGTATTTTTATTGTCATTGTTGTACAGTGTGTGACACGTAAATAAAATAATTTTCAAGTTGTCCTTCTCTGTCAGGATGTTGTCGTCTAATTGGAGATATTTCCTTCTCTTTGGTGACAGTCGTCCTGCGGCATGAATTTGCATCAATATTGTCTCTGAAAGTGATTGTTCATTCTTGTCAATAAATTTAAAGATGTTTGGATGACTTGGGCCCGATCTCTTGAGCCTGGAGTGCCAGCCTTCTAAGTGATTGGTTGTCCTGGAACCCAGGGTCCAAAAATGGTTCCACACGTTTCTCCTGTCGCCGGACGCCAATGTATGGTGGTGTTTCTTCTGTTCTTAATTCGGAATCTATGTCCATTGAAAACTAAGTTCTGTCCACCTTGGGAGATAGCAACAAATCGAACATTAACTTGAGCATTAGCCACTTTGTTATGGCAGTATGACTTGTAAATGCTATTTTATACACTTCCAAGATTGACATCAATCACTCATATATAATTTTAATCATCCCTATGCATTTAATCATGTACATGAGAAAACTGTTCACCTATTATCATCAAATAACAGTTTGTAGTACACCCCAAAAAGAGGGATTACTATACACAAGATGACATACAACTTATACATACTCACGTGTATAAACTACTATCAAACAGTGAGGATAACAGGTGTTTGCAAAAATGTTAGCGTATCCTGCACCACCGGTGGAAAAAAACACATGCAAAGGCAAGTTAGTTGTTAAACCCGAAAAACACGAAAACGTATGGCACAAGTCAAAACAGAGATTTTCATCGGACATAACTCCATTTGCTACTTCTGTGGTAGTCACCAATCAACCCGTTAATACTTCCAAAAATAGCTTTAACCCTTTTAAAGCTTTTGAGAAATTCACAAGTATGGGTATGGTCTGACAAAGCACGAAGCACAAAATGGGGCATGTTTGGGACAATGATTAGAGTATTCTTTCAAGTCTAAGGGTCCAACAGGTGTTATTTCTGCAACATGCTATTTCAAAACCCAAAATTCAGAGTGATACTTATGAAAAGAAAAATTGAAAAAATAAAAAATATAAATTCCTTCCAGGTGAAGGCTATCACTTGAAATCAAAAATAACAAAGCAAATTTTAGTCAAAGACACATCTCTTGGGGTAGAAGTTCACCTCTGTCACCATTCGATGGTATTTCTGGAAAGGAAAGTTAACTTACAAAGTTGTAATATACGTGAAAGGCTTAATGTTGCTGATTAAGCACAAAGATATAAACTCTCAGTGACTGCTCAGTAACATTCATGTAATATTAGTAATATTCAAATAAGTGTACTTGTTCTTGGTGTGTGTGTGTGACGTGGATATATATAAATAAGCAACAAATGTATTGCATGCTGTGACAGCGCACTGCATTATTGAAACGCCTGAAGAAATGCATATGTAGCCTAGTTTAGACAATGCACTTGTTTTGTGCACATATGTGACGGCGAGGTTAGGGCAACCTGACACATATGAGAATTAATAGCCATGTTTTTCTGAGCGAGTTGACTGCCAACGTTGTTTGGCAGGTAGGTTTTGTTAAGATGTGTTATCTTGTTCTCTCTCTACCCTCTACTTCCTTCATCACAATTTAAATCCAAAATAGACTTTCGGGCCTAACACTGTGGCAATTTTAGACCCTCTATTTCTGTATTTACTTGAGCTCATTTCCCCTAATGTTTACATCATCTCATAAGACTAAGCCATCAATGATGTCAAAGCTGTCTGACGTGTTTCTTATGAACAGTTTATGAAGCTAAACAATGTCCATGTGACTTAAGCACAAAAATACGCGCTATCCATTCGATCGACGTTTGTATGTGATTTTGGGGGAGAGGAGGTGCTAACTACTATTTAAAAACAGGGAGATGGTGATAAGGCTCAGGTTATGAAACAATCTGAACTCAGTCTTGAATTACTACACAGTACACTGCCTGTGACCCCAGCTTCAATGGCTACAGTGTGCAAAGATTGTTTGTGAATGAGATAAGCTATATTGTTTGATTTACCACGGAGGTTGTATTTATCAGGCTAAACTAACACACACCATGAGTATGGTTTTAGTATATGACAGTTAATAAGTAACATAATGCATGCATGCCAATGATATATTCGTACACGGCACTGTTTTTTCTGATGATTAAAGAAAGGATTGTGAGAAACACGATCATAAACTGCCCTTTTAAGGTGCTTCAACAGACCCGCTCATACTTTCACTTCACTAATCCAGTTGCACTTATAAGTGTAAAGATTGATGTAACAAAACAATATCACTATCAACTTTTGCCCTGGATCGCTATATAAAGCTCCATAACCCTCTGTTCCAGGAGAGATGGATTGTAGGGTCTAGCAAATGTACCAACAAGTTCTTGTCGCAAAAGATTAACCCTAACTCTTAGAACAATCAAAGAAGGTCGGTTTGTTCCTGGAATCCTGGCAACGCACACATATATGAGTATATTATAATGACAATGGAAAAGGGAAAGATTTGGTTATGGAAAAAACAAATGTGACGACCATGTCATAGCGCTCGAATTTATCGGATCGGCATTGTTGGCCACGATGTTAATAACAGAGAACACGGAAATGACAAGTGAGTGACTGAGTGAGTATAGTTTAACGTCGCTTTCAGCTTATTGTGGGAGGAAAGCCACGAGGTGATGCAGGTCTCAGACGTGTACCACTTCGGTGAAAGCCACGAGCACGGGTATGGTGCTGACAAACCTTGAAACATAATCTGGACGAACCGGGATTCGAACCCACAGTCATAGGTTTCTTGTGTGCCAAAAGGACGCAAATCTGCACAGCGAATTGCGGCGCCTTAGACGACGGGGCCACCCTGCACCCTCTTTTAAACTAAATTTACTTATTTGTATCCTACTACACATCAACATGAATATACAAATCCATTTCTAAATGAGAGTATAATCTGTTGCTATCATGCGCTTTACGGTATGAAAGATATACATGCCTCTTTACGAAATAAACTGATTGACCTGATAGCAACTGGCCAGTCCTTTGAAAGTTATCATGTGTGACAACATTTAATACTGGGAACCTTAAATCTACAAAAGTGGAGAGTGAGTGAGCTGGGCTTAATGCAGTTACACAACGCCCTGTCAGCTTCCGTGTAATGTTGGGGAAAGCCCTGTTGTGGCTTATTCTTCCATGAATCCCCAACAATTGAAAGAATTCTCAAATGTCCAAGGTAGACATGCCCGATTACTATTACAGATGGACGTGTATTTAATGTAGTGTTTGAATGAATTTAACGCCGCTTTGAACAGTGTGCCGTTTATATAACGGTATAAGTGAAACACGCATCAGACGTTTTAAATTTCCACATTGATGAAACCCATGAGAATTCCTATGGTACTGACAAACCTTAGACGACCTGGCCAACCGTCCCCCCCCCCCCCCCCCCCCCCCCCCCCCCCACACACACACACACACACACACACACACACACACACCAAGGGGGAGAAAGTCAATAGTATTGATTTAGACCTGCGGTTATAATACCACTGAACATCTAAAGCTGATAACTGACCCCAGTATGACGTCCAGCCAAGGCATTTACTCTCCTATTGGTTTTTGATAGGACACTATGTGGCGTGTGGCAGCTCATTGCAATGCGAGTGTTACGGTTTTAAACTTTCACTTTCGTCGAGAGCCCCGATCTAAATAATTTACTCCACAAACAATTGATTGTGTTCTTCCACCTTAACCCATGTTTGAAAATCTCTTAGAATCCACGAACCTTCAACTATCCTTGTCCTTTTTGTTTTGTTTGTTTGTTGTTTAACGCCGATCTCGGCTATCCTTATCTGACAAAATGATGAAGAAATCGCCATAATAATTTCTCCGAATATCCGTTAATGGCCGGACCTATCGTCAAAGATCTATTAAGCGTCATAGCTCTCAATAATTAACAACAAAAGCATTGTCGACAAAGATTAAAAGATAGGGAAAAGTATTTATTCAAGATTGCAAGACATTCATTCTTGATTACGCTCGATGGGAAACTGCTTCACCTGAAAGTAAAAGCATACGTTTAGTACGTTATCCGGCTGTACATCATCAGTACGGATCTGAGGATCACACTGGATGTGTGGTGGTATAATGGTTGGATTTCTCACCACAATATGTAACTGATATTTTCGTCATGGTAAAACCGTTAAGCCTTCATTCTATCGACCCCGGCCGGTTATAGAGACTCAATTACTCACAGGCCACCGTGATAGGGCTGCATATTTGCTGATTACACGATTTAATGAACCATTTAATGGGGGAAGGGGAGGGGAGAATTAACTCAGAATAAAATAGAATTACACTTCAGACTGTTGACAAAAAATACATTGTTTCAAAAACATTCTTTAGGCTCAATTTTCAATGTTTACAACATCCCCAACAGGTATAGGAGTTGAGCTAATGGATAATTGATACTGATTGCATAATGGTACATGCTCTGACCACTTTGTGCCATCACATGTACCAGTACAATTTAGCCTTTCGAACCGACATGACAAGAATCAATGTTGCCCATATACCCTCTGGCGTGAATTGTGCATGTGTTCAATGCATCCATGCTTTTTTAAATATAAATTGCTGCTTTGTCGGCATGTCATTTCAAAGGTAGAAAATATAAATTCAAGTATATGGAAAAGGTTCGTCGAACAAAAACTGTTAACTCTAAGGGTATGTCACATTCATATAACTTACATTTAGAAAGATGCACTGGAAGAGCATTTGTTCGAGCTCAGTTAACGTTGCCGTTACCCGCCGCCATTGCCGTTACCGTTGCCGTTGCCATTACCGTTGTCGTCACCGTTGCCGTTGCCATTGCCGTTACCGTTGTCGTCACCGTTGCCGTTGCCATTGCCGTTACCGTTGTCATTGCCATTGCCGTCACCGTTGCCGTTGCCGTTGTCATTACCGTTGTCGTTCGAGTCATCATTTTTGTCATCATCATCATCTTCGTCACATTCTCCATTGTCCTCATCGTTGTCACTGCCATTGCCGTTCTCACCGTTGTCATTGTCGTTGCCGTTCTCACCGTTGCCATTGTCCTCGCCGTTGTCATCGTTGCCATTGCCATTGCCGTTCTCACCGTTGCCATTGCCATTGCCGTTCTCACCTTTGCGTTTGCACCTCCTTTTACTAGGAGCGCTTAGGGCGACAGCGCAAACACATGCCAAGACAAGGAGAAATACGGCGAACTTCATGTCTGCTGTTCAAATAGCTGTGAAGTAAGAAAGACTCTTCAATATCATTCATGTGCTGATCAAATCTTGTTAAGACTTGCCATCAAACCCTCACTACCTCTCATTGCCATGATTTAATTGACAAACAAGTGACAAACAACATGAATGACTTATATTTAAGACATCGTTTACATTTAATCAAGTTTAATTAGATTCCTTCATCCTGCATGCTAGTTTATGACAGAAAGTGAGTATGGTTTTTCGTCGCTTTTAGAAATATTCCAGCAATATCAAGGCGGGGGCACGAGAAATAGGCTTCACATATTGTACCTTTGTGGGGATCAAACCCAGGCCTTCGGCGTGACAAGCGTACGCTTTAACCACAAGACAACCCCACCGCCCCTTACAACAGTAAACACAGACACCACTATTTGAAGTATCCCCGTATTCGCATCCCTCAGACACGAGTTCCAAAACACGGACCTGACAAATTCATAGATATCTACAATCTGGAATCATTGCATTGACTTCTTTATTTCTTGCTATGCGACATTTCGTTACTTTGCATGGGAAGACTAATTAAAGAAATTGAAATCCATAATGATATAAGTCAGCCTCAGTAAGGCGTCGCGTTCAAGCTTATTGCACTTATAAAGCGATATGCATGCACGTGTGCGTGTGTGGAAGGGTGTGGTGTGCTTGTGATAATCCGGACTAATGCTGGTGTTATAGTTCTAGCCCACTGAGATACCATGCTGCATTTTCAGATTGATTACCCAACTTAGTCACAGTATACTGACTCCGAGTTGACCACTGTCATTTTGACCCCTGAATGACGAGGGCCTGGCAGGTCACCTACAACTACCATCTTTTAACAAGTACCATCCGTGTTAGACGAAAATTGTAATAAAAAGGTAAATTGTAATACTTGCAGCAATTGTGTAACAATTTTGACGTAAATTGTAATAACAACGTAAATTGTAATAAAATTTGACGTAAATTGTAATACGCATATTGTAATAAAAAATGACGTAAATTCTAATAATCTCAACTTGCGGTAAAATGTAATAACTTCTTTTTACGTAAATTGTAATAACCTGATAAGTTTGGTGTCAAAGGCGTTAAATGACTAGAACCTATCCTTGTCAGGGTTGGTACAGGGGGATTACATTAGGTACGTCTATTCGACAAATAGGTTAATTGATTTATCATCCAATAGTTGCTTAGCTAGGAGTCCATTGCAATAACATTGAGTTATGAGTTACCGAAGAGAGCTCTGTGCAACCGGACCCTGAAATTATGTCGATTTGCATTGGAGGTTTACTTAATTTGATAAGGAGCACATGACCGTTTCCTTGAAACAAACGAGACAATTCAATCGTATTTATACATTATACTTTGATGAAGAATTCAAATACAACAAACGAGTGACAGATCTCCTGTGCAATGGCAAAGGAAAAATCAACAGTCGTCCGCAAATGCAGCATAGATTTCCCATGCATGGGAAAAGAGAATACTTAATACATAACATTATGTACAATGTTTTTATTAATATCAAAAGAGGGGCATGGATATTCTTTACCTGCATTGTATATACTATTAGATATTGTGTATTCTCGATCTCTGTGAACTTCTCACAGATAAAGAAATAATAATAAATAAATGCAAACCATGTTAACTTATGCAATATTTGTAGCAATGTATGATTAACATATGGATCATGAATATAACATTAAATATTTCCTTTCATAGGAAGAAGTATATTTAATGAAATAAATGAATAAATGTAACTGTCTGGATTCCTTTCATATGTCATGAAGAACTAACAGCAACTTACTGACAACTTTTGCTGGGATAATAACTCCTTGCCCCAACAACAAAAACAGAATCCATCATGACAACGTCACGAAATCATAATTCAAAGCATACACAAATAATATCCGGTATCTTCGGGCATGTCTTGTTGAGTTTCAAAGAGCATCAGAATGTATAATAAATTTGTTGCAATCAGTTATTGCTGAAATATATCTGTTTTGATCAAAATTGAAAGGATGGAAAATCTATAATGAAAAGGGTTTTGTCACTAACGTAAATATTCTCTTTGACCTTATACAATGAGTATTCTAAGATCATTAAACTCGGCAATCGTTGGTGGATTGCGCCAAGCAAAAAACCTTGATACCAAATTTGGTACCTCACGTTTAATGCGGTACATAATTTTCGAAAAAGATAATTACGTTTTTCATAAGTTATCACTAATTTGTGACATATATACGGACACAAATTACCTCAGAGGATAGTCTTCTCTGGGGGTTTAAGAGGATTAAAATAATTCAAGCTAAGAGCACTGTAATAAAATATTGAAATTATAGCATACCTTCTTAACATTCCAATGAAAAGAATAGTGACTACCTAAGAAACCAAATTATATTTATCTCCGACACTATGCCCTCATCAGTATACAGTTATTACAGTGCTTGATGTTAGCCCAATGTAGCGGTCAAAATTTCATCGTTTTCATTCAGCTTCTAAAAGGGTATATTCATTTTTCGTTTCTTTGCAATTTGTAATATTCCCATTCCGTTTTAAGTTCTAAAATTTGTTTTAACTGGTCTTAGGCTACTGCCCTTTTAAATATTTAACAAGGGGAGGTAAATGCTCTGGCGTCAGTTTTTCAAGCCATGTGGTAGCCAGAAGGCACATGTCCAAGTCACCAAGTCACCAAGTCAAATTTATGGTCTAAAGCAATGGTAAGCCAGTTTCACAATTTCACACCAAGCCTCAAACAATTAATGTAAATGCAAAGTAACATTGCATATATAATGCTAAACTTTTAGTAATTCTCTAGTTTAACCCTGTGTGTGTTAGTTCTTCTGTAGAAGCTCACCTTGCCTTACTTGCCCATGAAGTTCAAATGTGAGCCTAGTTCTCTTGAAGTTAATTATTGTTTAATATGTATAGACATTTAATTGTTTGTTTTTGGTAAGCACTGAGACAGCTTCTCATCTGTTTCAGTCAATCTGTATGTGCAAAAGAGCAAAAGAAAATAGATAAGAAAGAATGAAAGAAACCAAAGTAAAGAATTAAGAGACTTGGTTATTACACCCATATTACTTTTATGTTTTCAGGGAATTATTGTACGTATATATTTCGTATCAATGTTTCTTGGCGCAATCCAATAACGATTGTCGAGTTTAATGATCTTCAAGTACGTTTCAAGGTCAAAGAGAAAATTTACTTGAGTGACAAACATATTTTCATTATAAATTTTCAATTCCTTTCTATTTGGATACAAGCAGATATATTTCAGCAATTGATTGCAAGAAATTTATGATAATTCGTATACTTTTTGAAACTGTACAAGAGTTATCCGAAGATACCGGATGTTATTTGTGTATGCACGGGATTTGTCAACTAATTTGTTGAATTTGAATTCTTCGTCAAAATAAAATGAATTGTGTAAATATGATTAAATTCCCTCGTTTGTGCCAAGAAAAGGATCATGTACTCCTTATGAACTCGAAAAGCGTTTCCACTGCAAATCGACACACTCGTTGACCAGCCTGTGTTTGTGCCCTTCATCATCACTCGTTCAGTCGTGTCGAACTGGTCAACGTACTGTTGAAGCAAGTCATGCAAAAAGCATCTTGAATAGCCTTATAAGAGTATGGAACAATATGTCACAATTAAGTTATTTGTCGAATATACGGTTGTGTAACCCATCATTTTGAACCCGAGGATGGATCTTTCAGTCATTTAAATTTATCGATGTTGACACCACCCTTTAATGACGATTGTACGATAAAGCCTATACCAATCATCTCTAACTTAACAGTTTTGTACGTTTGTCATCATACACAGTATTTCTCAAATTGTACATGTGAAACGCAAGCTCAACTGACAAAGATCATTTCTAGTCAATTGGTGTCTTGGACACTACGGTAGTAAGGTTATTACAATTTACGTAAGAATTTATTACATTTTTCCGCAAATAGAGATTATTACAATTCACGTCAATTTTTATTTCAATTTGCGTATTGCAATTTACGGCAAATATTATTACAATTTACGTTATTATTACAATGTACGTCAAAATTATGACAATTTGCTGCAAGTATTACAATTTACCTTTTTATTACAATTTACGTCATAACAACCCGCTCAAGGGATCGAATTACCGACCTTCCGATCTCCCACCGGACGCTCCGTCCACTAGACCACGGAGGATGCCCACTGTCAATGCAGACAAGATTAGCATATGGATAATTCGCAATTCGCTGTATTGAGCGAAGTCCCTTGAGCACAACAGAAACCTATGATTGTGGTTTCGAATACCAATTTGCCCCGATTATGTTTCTAGGTTTGTCAGCACCATACCCGTGCTCTTCGGTTTCACCAGAGTGCTAAACATCTGAGACCTGCATCACTTTCCTCCCACACTAAGATACGCGTTAAACCCAACTCACTCATTCACTCTCTAATCATCGCTTACTAACAGTGAGGGCAGCACGTGTTCGGCCGAGCATGTCCTGTTCGACTGACAAAAAATGTCAGTGCGTATGGTTAGCATAAAAAAGCAAGACTTACCAATGCGTTACTAAGATTTGCTAATGCTCTACTAAGACTACTTATGATATACTAATGGTTGAACATGTTAAAACTGTACTTACAATTTCACTACAGATCCGATCGGACACAGTTGCGGGAGAAGTGCGGGATGCAAGGATATCGAAACGACCCCCCTTTATACCTTTTGTTGGTTTTCCACGTGACTGATTATGATGCATGGCGATATTTTTCTTACAAAATTGACATATTTTGTGGATACTGACATCTTTATTTTGTACAATAGCGACATTTAAGGATCTATACCGAAACGTGGCTTTTACAGCAAAATAAAGAGGTACTTTTCCACAAATGGTTTTAACGTTGTCAATCAGTCATCTTCTAAAATAGGCCTCTCGTGCCCTAGGTCATTTCTGACAACAGGTAAGAAAATAGTGCTAAGTTTATATTTGGAAGGTTTCATCCTGTTGTATTGTTTTTATCCACAAAGACGAGTACGACAGGGCACGTAGACACTCACCACATTGCATGCAGGGCCGAAATGTAGACACTCACCACATTGCATGCAGGGCCGAAATGTAGACACTCACCACATTGCATGCAGGGCCGAAATGTAGACACTCACCACAATGCATGCAGGGCCGAAATGTAGACACTCACCACATTGCATGCAGAGCCGAAATGTAGACACTCACCACATTGCATGCAGAGCTGAAATGTAGACACTCACCACATTGCATGCAGAGCCGAAATGTAGACACTCGCCACATTGCATGCAGGGCCGAAATGTCGACTCTCACCACATTGCATGCAGAGCCGAAATGTAGACACTCACCGCATTGCATGCAGAGCCGAAATGAAGACGATCACCACATTGCATGCAGGGCCGAAATGTCGACACTCACCACATTGCATGCAGAGCCGAAATGTAGACACTCACCACATTGCATGCAGGGCAAAAATGTAGACACTCACCACATTGCATGCAGAGCCGAAATGCTGACACTCGCCGCATTGCATGCAGAGTCGAAATGTAGACACTCGCCACATTGCATCCAGGGCCGAAATGTCGACACTCACCACATTGCATGCAGGGCCGAAATGTAGACACTCACCACATTGCATGCAGAGCCGAAATGTAGACGCTCACCACATTGCATGCAGAGCCGAAATGTAGACACTCGCCACATTGCATGCAGGGCTGAAATGTCGACTCTCACCACATTGTATGCAGAGCCGAAATGTAGACACTCGCCACATTGCATGCAGGGCCGAAATGTCGACTCTCACCACATTGCATGCAGAGCCGAAATGTAGACACTCACCGCATTGCATGCAGAGCCGAAATGTAGACGATCACCACATTGTATGCAGGGCCGAAATGTCGACACTCACCACATTGCATGCAGGGCCGAAATGTAGACACTCACCACATTGCATGCAGAGCCGAAATGCAGACACTCGCCGCATTGCATGCAGAGTCGAAATGTAGACACTCGCCATATGCATGCAGGGCCGAAATGTCGACACTCACCACATTGCATGCAGGGCCGAAATGTAGACACTCACCACATTGCATGCAGAGCCGAAATGTAGACACTCGCCACATTGCATGCAGGGCCGAAATGTCGACTCTCACCACATTGCATGCAGAGCCGAAATGTAGACACTCACCGCATTGCATGCAGAGCCGAAATGTAGACCATCACCACATTGTATGCAGGGCCGAAATGTAGACACTCACCACATTGCATGCAGAGCCGAAATGTAGACACTCACCACATTGCATGCAGGGCAAAAATGTAGACACTCACCACATTGCATGCAGAGCCGAAATGCTGACACTCGCCGCATTGCATGCAGAGCCGAAATGTAGACACTCGCCACATTGCATCCAGGGCCGAAATGTCGACACTCACCACATTGCATGCAGGGCCGAAATGTAGACACTCACCACATTGCATGCAGAGCCGAAATGTAGACGCTCACCACATTGCATGCAGAGCCGAAATGTAGACACTCGCCACATTGCATGCAGGGCTGAAATGTCGACTCTCATCACATTGTATGCAGAGCCGAAATGTAGACACTCGCCACATTGCATGCAGGGCCGAAATGTCGACTCTCACCACATTGCATGCAGAGCCGAAATGTAGACACTCACCGCATTGCATGCAGAGCCGAAATGTAGACGATCACCACATTGTATGCAGGGCCGAAATGTCGACACTCACCACATTGCATGCAGGGCCGAAATGTAGACACTCACCACATTGCATGCAGAGCCGAAATGCAGACACTCGCCGCATTGCATGCAGAGTCGAAATGTAGACACTCGCCATATGCATGCAGGGCCGAAATGTCGACACTCACCACATTGCATGCAGGGCCGAAATGTAGACACTCACCACATTGCATGCAGAGCCGAAATGTAGACGCTCACCACATTGCATGCAGAGCCGAAATGTAGACACTCGCCACATTGCATGCAGGGCCGAAATGTCGACTCTCACCACATTGCATGCAGAGCCGAAATGTAGACACTCGCCACATTGCATGCAGGGCCGAAATGTCGACTCTCACCCCATTGCATGCAGAGCCGAAATGTAGACACTCACCGCATTGCATGCAGAGCCGAAATGTAGACGATCACCACATTGTATGCAAGGCCGAAATGTCGACACTCACAACATTGCATGCAGGGCCGAAATGTAGACACTCGCCACATTGCATGCAGGGCCGAAATGTCGACACTCACCACATTGCATGCAGAGCCGAAATGTAGACACTCACCACATTGCATGCAGAGCCGAAATGTAGACACTCGCCACATTGCATGCAGGGCCGAAATGTAGACACTCACAACATTGCATGCAGGGCCGAAATGTAGACACTCACAACATTGCATGCAGGGCCGAAATGTAGACACTCACAACATTGCATGCAGGGCCGAAATGTAGACGATCACCACATTGCATGTAGAGCCGAAATGTAGACACTCGCCGCATTGCATGCAGGGCCGAAATGTAGACACTCACCACATTGCATGCAGAGCCGAAATGTAGACACTCACCACATTGCATGCAGGGCCGAAATGTAGACACTCACCACAATGCATGCTGGGCCGAAATGTAGACACTCACCACATTGCATGCAGAGCCGAAATGTAGACACTCACCACATTGCATGCAGAGCCGAAATGTAGACACTCGCCACATTGCATGCAGAGCCGAAATGTCGACTCTCACCACATTGCATGCAGAGCCGAAATGTAGACACTCACCGCATTGCATGCAGAGCCGAAATGTAGACACTCACCACATTGCATGCAGAGCCGAAATGTCGACACTCACAACATTGCATGCAGGGCCGAAATGTAGACACTCGCCACATTGCATGCAGGGCCGAAATGTCGACACTCACCACATTGCATGCAGAGCCGAAATGTAGACACTCGCCGCATTGCATGCAGAGCCGAAATGTAGACACTCACCACATTGCATGCAGAGCCGAAATGTAGACACTCACCACATTGCATGCAGGTCCGAAATGTCGACTCTCACCACATTGCATGCAGAGCCGAAATGTAGACACTCACCGCATTGCATGCAGAGCCGAAATGTAGACGATCACCACATTGTATGCAGGGCCGAAATGTAGACACTCACAACATTGCATGCAGGGCCGAAATGTAGACACTCGCCACATTGCATGCAGGGCCGAAATGTCGACTCTCACCACATTGCATGCAGAGCCGAAATGTAGACACTCGCCGCATTGCATGCAGAGCCGAAATGTAGACACTCACCACATTGCATGCAGGGCCGAAATGTAGACACTCACCACAATGCATGAAGGGCCGAAATGTAGACACTCACAACATTGCATGCAGAGCCGAAATGTAGACACTCACCACATTGCATGCAGAGCCGAAATGTAGACACTCGCCACATTGCATGCAGGGCCGAAATGTCTACTCTCACCACATTGCATGCAGAGCCGAAATGTAGACACTCACCACATTGCATGCAGAGCCGAAATGTAGACGATCACCACATTGTATGCAGGGCCGAAATGTAGACACTCACCACATTGCATGCAGGGCCGAAATGTAGACACTCACAACATTGCATGCAGGGCCGAAATGTAGACACTCACAACATTGCATGCAGGGCCGAAATGTAGACACTCACAACATTGCATGCAGAGCCGAAATGTAGACGATCACCACATTGCATGTAGAGCCGAAATGTAGACACTCGCCGCATTGCATGCAGGGCCGAAATGTAGACACTCACCACATTGCATGCAGAGCCGAAATGTAGACACTCACCACATTGCATGCAGGGCCGAAATGTAGACACTCACCACAATGCATGCTGGGCCGAAATGTAGACACTCACCACATTGCATGCAGAGCCGAAATGTAGACACTCACCACATTGCATGCAGAGCCGAAATGTAGACACTCGCCACATTGCATGCAGAGCCGAAATGTCGACTCTCACCACATTGCATGCAGAGCCGAAATGTAGACACTCACCGCATTGCATGCAGAGCCGAAATGTAGACACTCACCACATTGCATGCAGAGCCGAAATGTCGACACTCACAACATTGCATGCAGGGCCGAAATGTAGACACTCGCCACATTGCATGCAGGGCCGAAATGTCGACACTCACCACATTGCATGCAGAGCCGAAATGTAGACACTCGCCGCATTGCATGCAGAGCCGAAATGTAGACACTCACCACATTGCATGCAGAGCCGAAATGTAGACACTCACCACATTGCATGCAGGTCCGAAATGTCGACTCTCACCACATTGCATGCAGAGCCGAAATGTAGACACTCACCGCATTGCATGCAGAGCCGAAATGTAGACGATCACCACATTGTATGCAGGGCCGAAATGTAGACACTCACAACATTGCATGCAGGGCCGAAATGTAGACACTCGCCACATTGCATGCAGGGCCGAAATGTCGACTCTCACCACATTGCATGCAGAGCCGAAATGTAGACACTCGCCGCATTGCATGCAGAGCCGAAATGTAGACACTCACCACATTGCATGCAGGGCCGAAATGTAGACACTCACCACAATGCATGAAGGGCCGAAATGTAGACACTCACAACATTGCATGCAGAGCCGAAATGTAGACACTCACCACATTGCATGCAGAGCCGAAATGTAG